AATCCCTTCTCCTCCATTTTCCTCTCGGGATCTTGGGCACGCACGCACACACGCCCAGTATGAGTTGAAGCCACTGGGTCCAGGACTCGAACTGCGGTCGACTACATGGGAGTCCAGCAACATAGCCATTATGCTAATTGCTGGTCCCATATGAATGTCTATCTTAGGAAATACTTCTCATCTGACAGCTACACGTAACTAAATTTAGAAGTATCTTCATTCTATATGAATAACTATTTTTTCATAAGATAGTTATATTTTATAGGTACCAAATTATTGTCAAATATATTTTTTAATTTAATAATTGGCTGTCATTCTTAAGACTTTGTTTTGAAATTTACCAATAATTTAGACCCATCATACTGGATTAGCTTATACTTTAAGATATATTTTCAGATACACATTTATTTGCTTTAACATTTCTAGAATGAAAAATATTCTTATAAAACCCTTGGAAATCTCATGATGGAGCATTAAGATCTACTTAGGCTTGAAAGTTTGGAAGAAATAATTTATAAGAAAGGCAGACCACTTTAAGTTTGATTAGGCTTCATATCCATGGAAATAACATCTATTTTGTTGTGAAACTATCTTGACTTTTACAAATATAGTGTTATATTTTATAAAATTTTGTAAAGTCCCAAGCAATATTTCTATTTTTGTAAAACAATTGTATGTAATCAGTTTCTGAAAATCACTTTTAATCTGTAGAAATAGAGGAGCAGTTGCTATTTCTAAATTGTGAACTCTAAGTCAGTCTAAATTGCTTTTGAGAAATGATAATTTTTCACTCTTTGCTTTTGAGGCAACCATTAGTTTGAAAATATATTTATCATAAAAAAACTTGATGCATTTTGCACTACTCTCTCCATTTGTATGCTGCAAACAACTATAGTTTTCCAGATATGAAAATCAGCAGTCTGAAGTTTATTTTAAATCTAATTTTTCAAAAATTATTAAGTATGAATATACTGCAAATACTATGAGAGATTTGATACAGTAACGTGATGGAGGATTCTTTGGTATCTTACTCTTTGGTTAAGGCACTAATTTTACTTTATTGTTAAATTTTGAAAGCATTTGAGATATATAAATCTTCCTATAGGAAATGTGAAAGAAAAGCACAACAAAACTAGGGTTTTACTGGGTTTTGATTTGGGATTTTTTGTTTGTTTTATTATCAGATGGACTTGTGTTTCAGATGGACTTTTGTTTCCAAGCAATATTTATGTGTAATCATTCATCATATCTGAAAAAGACCACAAAATCTGAGAAATGCTAATGAAGACTTGCTGGTACATAGGAACCTAGCAAATTCAGGAACTAAGGGGAAATGTTCTGAGATAGCATTTGCATTGTCAACCTCTATTGACTGTTTTTGCAATAAAAAGATTTTACAAGTTCTGTTAGCTGTATACTGTGACTTGAAGATTTTCTCCTTCTGGGTCCAGCAGGTGGTGTGGTGGTTAAGGCACTCTCTCCCATATGGCCCACTGTGGTTTGATCCCCAAACTCAGCGGCTTGAGAATCACGCAAGATGCAAATGCGTGTATGCCCAGAATCCTGAGAGGAGAATGGAGGAGAAGGGACTGTGACATGGCTATCCCCCGAGGGGTGACTTCTCATTTTCTTACTTTGTCTCCCTCTCTCTGTCTCTCTAGCAAGCCCACATGCCCTATGGCAAAAACCTAAAAAAAAAAAAAAAAAGAAGAAAAATTCTCCTCTGTTAAGATAGTAAAGAAATTGTTCATATTTTATTTCTATATCCAGCGGCTGAGTGCCTAGTGTGCGCCAGGTGTTCTAGGCAGGGAGAGGCAGAGCAATGGACAGAAATGCTTTCCTTTTCATTCAGATAGAATCCAAGATTTGTTTTCTTGCAGATTTCTTTTTCCGTAGTTTTTAAAGTTCATAAATCTTGGTTACATATAAACTCAAAATAATTTTGGTTCTGGTTTTTCATGCCATTCCTTGTGAGTGAAATTTACTTGGACTGCTCAGATTGGTAACTGTCAGTGTAAGGGAAGCAAGATTGTATAGATGTAAAGGAAATATATTAAATCGAATATATCTTTTTTCATTTCAGTTATTAAATTTTATCTTTCTTAGGGGCAGCAGGTAGCTTGGAGGCTGAGGTAGCTGGATTCCGCAAGGAAACCTCCATGCCCATTAGTTGTCATTTCCTGTTCACTCCCAAATCCTTTGGCCCTAAGGAGCTACTTTCTGTCTCTAGATTTGCCTTTTCTGGACATTTCTGGACAAATGAAGTCATGCATTAAGTGGTTTTGGGTGACTGACTTATTTAACATGTTTTCAAGGTTTATCCATGTTGTAATCTGCATGAGTATTCTTTTTTGTTGCCAAATATTGTATGGGTGTGTCCCACATTTTATTTATTCCTCAGTTAAAATTGGGTTATTTCTAGTTTTTTGCTATTGTAAATAATGCTGCTATGGACATCATAAACAAGTTTTTGTACACATGTATTTGTCTCTGGAGCACATACCTAGGAGTGGAATTCTCAATTGAAAGCTGATTTTGTTTAACTTTCTGTGTTGAGTCGTCAGAAAAGCCACAATGTAATTTTCTGTTTTTCTATACAAAACTGCGTTATGACTTTACCAACAACCCAGTAACTGTCAGACTGTTCCAAGTGACTGCACTGTTTCACTTTTTTCACCAGCAGTATAGGAGAGTTCCATTTTCTCTACAGATTCCCCGACATTTAAAATCTTTTTGATTATGGCCATCCTAGTGCATATGAAGTACCTCACTGGTTTTATTTGCATTTTTCTAATGGCTAATGATGTTGAGGATCATTTTATCTGCTTGTTGCCCATTGTGCGTCTTTTTTGAAGGAATGCCTATTCAGATCCCTTGCCCAGTTTAAAATTAGGTGGTTTTGGGTTGAGTAGTAAGAGGTTTTTCTATATTTTCATTACAAGATCCTTATCAGACATATGATTTGCAAATATTTCAACCTTTTTTTTTTTTTTTTTTTTTTTTTTTTTTTTTTTTTTTTTTTTTTGCTATAAGACTCATGTGCTCGCCAGGCAGAGAGAGACAGAGAGACAGAAAGCGAGAAATCACTCCTCACGGGGGATGGCCACGCTGCAGTCCCTTCTCCATTCTCCTCTCGGGATCTTGGGTACGCACGCACACACACCTGGCGTGAGTTTTAAGCCACCAGGTCCAGGACTCGAACTGTAGTCGACTACATGGGAGTCCAGTGACATAGCCATTACGCTAACTGCTGGTCCCTCTCCCTTTTTAGCCCCCATGCCCTATGGCAAAAACCTAAAAAAAAAAAAAAAAAGAAGAAAAATTCTCCTCTGTTAAGATAGTAAAGAAATTGTTCATATTTTATTTCTATATCCAGCGGCTGAGTGCCTAGTGTGCGCCAGGTGTTCTAGGCAGGGAGAGGCAGAGCAATGGACAGAAATGCTTTCCTTTTCATTCAGATAGAATCCAAGATTTGTTTTCTTGCAGATTTCTTTTTCCGTAGTTTTTAAAGTTCATAAATCTTGGTTACATATAAACTCAAAATAATTTTGGTTCTGGTTTTTCATGCCATTCCTTGTGAGTGAAATTTACTTGGACTGCTCAGATTGGTAACTGTCAGTGTAAGGGAAGCAAGATTGTATAGATGTAAAGGAAATATATTAAATCGAATATATCTTTTTTCATTTCAGTTATTAAATTTTATCTTTCTTAGGGGCAGCAGGTAGCTTGGAGGCTGAGGTAGCTGGATTCCGCAAGGAAACCTCCATGCCCATTAGTTGTCATTTCCTGTTCACTCCCAAATCCTTTGGCCCTAAGGAGCTACTTTCTGTCTCTAGATTTGCCTTTTCTGGACATTTCTGGACAAATGAAGTCATGCATTAAGTGGTTTTGGGTGACTGACTTATTTAACATGTTTTCAAGGTTTATCCATGTTGTAATCTGCATGAGTATTCTTTTTTGTTGCCAAATATTGTATGGGTGTGTCCCACATTTTATTTATTCCTCAGTTAAAATTGGGTTATTTCTAGTTTTTTGCTATTGTAAATAATGCTGCTATGGACATCATAAACAAGTTTTTGTACACATGTATTTGTCTCTGGAGCACATACCTAGGAGTGGAATTCTCAATTGAAAGCTGATTTTGTTTAACTTTCTGTGTTGAGTCGTCAGAAAAGCCACAATGTAATTTTCTGTTTTTCTATACAAAACTGCGTTATGACTTTACCAACAACCCAGTAACTGTCAGACTGTTCCAAGTGACTGCACTGTTTCACTTTTTTCACCAGCAGTATAGGAGAGTTCCATTTTCTCTACAGATTCCCCGACATTTAAAATCTTTTTGATTATGGCCATCCTAGTGCATATGAAGTACCTCACTGGTTTTATTTGCATTTTTCTAATGGCTAATGATGTTGAGGATCATTTTATCTGCTTGTTGCCCATTGTGCGTCTTTTTTGAAGGAATGCCTATTCAGATCCCTTGCCCAGTTTAAAATTAGGTGGTTTTGGGTTGAGTAGTAAGAGGTTTTTCTATATTTTCATTACAAGATCCTTATCAGACATATGATTTGCAAATATTTCAACCTTTTTTTTTTTTTTTTTTTTTTTTTTTTAAAAACCTTTTTTCCCCCCGGGGAGATGTGCTCGCCAGGCAGAGAGAGACAGAGAGACAGAAAGCGAGAAATCACTCCTCACGGGGGATGGCCACGCTGCAGTCCCTTCTCCATTCTCCTCTCGGGATCTTGGGTACGCACGCA